GTGCCTCCAACTTTTCTCCAGGCTATGCACCGAGCGTCTGCTGAGTTAGGTCAGGCTCTGAAATCTCCTGAGAAGGCGACTGTTGCTCCGGAGGGGGATCAGTTGCCTGGATCCAGCTGGTCCCTTTTCTCTACATGGGTCTTGGGAAGGAGATCTGGCTTTCGCAGCTCGGCAGGAGGGGGAGCAGGCAGAGGGGAAGCGTGGTGGTCTAACTAATACCATGCTGGACTGGGGTGTAAAACGATAGGTGAAGGAAGCGACTACCTCCAAACACACAAAATCCATCCTCGGCTTTGCCTGCTGCTTCCTCCTGTGCTGTCTGGTGCCGGACACGTGCACTCAGGACCAAATGGCCTCAGGGCCTGCATTTGCCTGAAGAATAACAAAATTTTTAAAAAAAAAGTTTATCAGCCACACCACTGTGTCGGCAGAGCTTGGGGACAGTGTGGAGGTGCCCGTGGGAGGTCAGTCGTTCCAGCGGAGAGAGGAAGCTTCGGCTCCCGCTCCTCTGCGCCCAGTTCAAGAGCGGATTCTGAACAGGGGTTGCCTCACGCAGCTGGTAAGAGCCAGCTGTCTCACTGGTGGTTTGGTTTTAGCCCTGCCTGACGAAACAAAAACACCGTTCTCCGAAAATTTTGGTCAGCTCGGATCAGTTGGAGTCAGTAATAACTGTGTTTTCAACAGCGTTACTGAATTTCTTTGTGTGTTTGCTGTTTACGTTTCAGAAGTCATTGGTGAATATCAGGCTGTATAAACGTGTACAGTTTAGTGATTGATACTAGATTATAGTCCGTGTTCTAGGATGGCTCATCTCTCTCACTGTATCCTGACAATGTACTACTAATTTTATACACTTTGTAATCAGTATCTTTAGAAAACGTTTAGGCAGCAGTGTGTGTACGTGCACATGCGTGTGCTAGGAGTTTACCATAAATGGTTATAAAGTAATACTGTACTTTTTAGACTTAACACTTTCAGGCAAAAGTTAATAGGTTTTCTAGTTTTGACTTACATAAAAACGTGCAATGCTTGTTAAATGAGGAACTTGGGCCATTGCATGAACAGATACATTCTCACAAGGCACCTGAAAATGTGCTGGTTTTTTTCTGAGGGCGTTTAAACGAAGGCAGTAGTAAAACTAAATAGGATTTATTTATACTTTTTAAGGGTGGGCTTGTCTTTTCTTGGTTAACTAAGTTTTCTAACAACGTTTTAGTGTCTTTTGACCATTCAGACACATTCCATAGGTAGAAGGAAAAGCATTACGTATAAACCTACAGCATTTATTCATATTTAATCTTTCAATTATAATCTGAGCGGAGAGCTGAACAAGCTCACTCCTGTGCCCGGCATGCCTCAGCTCTCTTCCCAGAGATAGCTTCTCCTTCCCGGGAGGAGGCTGGCAGATACATCCTCCCAAGGAACTAGCAGCAGCAAGGCCTTTCCCGAGGACAGGGTCCCCCTCACCAGCCCTCACCGCGGGCGCCGGGCACAGGAAGGGTCATCAGGACCCTCAGACGTGGCAGGAGTGCAAGCGAGCAGGAGCTGCCGCCACCTCCTGCTCTTAGGGGGCACAGGCTGTGAGCGGAGTGAGATTCAGTGGGGTGTTTATGACCAAGACTTACCATAAGATCCTGCGGGCTCGCGGGTTCCTGTCGCTGTCGTCGGGATACGTTCTCTCTTAACTGTAAGTAATTAGCAATATGCACAAGCTGTGAGTGTCTCCTACCCAGGATTTGTTCAGATGTCTTAAGCACAATAAGTTGCCTCTTCCCTCCGTTGTACCTGTCAAACGTCAGTGGAGCAGCCTGGTGTGGGACAGGGCTAGTTCTAGAAAGCGTTTCCGCAGCCTTCCCGCTGCGCTCCAGCACGCGCCCCGCTGCAGGAACACGCTCCCCGCAGAAACGTGACTTTTCTTTGCACAAACACCGGCGTAGACGTGCTGTGGGAGACGTGCCCTGGGCTCCTCGCTCCGCTCTGCCAGGGAGAGGTGTGTATATTTCCTCTTTAATAAAATACTCAACAACTGAAGTTCTGCTTCTCCAAACTACCTGTGTGTTTTCCATACTAGAGTGAAACATTCTGATATTCCCAGCAAAGGAAGGGTCACTTACAGCTTCCGATGGCAGCGCCTCAATCAGGCACCCAGTGCTAGGCAGAGAAATGTGATAACCCACTTGGGTCTGGGCACCTGGTAAGTACTGGGGCTGGTGTGACACCTCACAGCCCAGTTCTCCCTCACCTGTAGAAGAAAGGCTGCCCCACTCAGGGGGAAGGACAGCAGGGAAAAGAGCTGGAAGCCCAGGCTGATGTCTGGGAGGATTCAGCTGGCTGTAGCCCTCTGACTTACCTCTGACCAGGTTCACACGCGGCCACAGGCTGGAAACATCAGTCTGGGGCACCGTTTTGTAGTTCTTAATGCCAGTGAGGAGCAAGTGAGCAGACTGGGCAGGCTGGGCCCCAGGGTGCACGGTGCTGGCACTGCTCGCCAGCCAGGTAAGCTCTGCACAACAGCTCGCACTTTTGTGTTGGACCTGCCCTGTGTTCCTGCTGTCCCGTGCAAGCCCTGCATGGACCAGCCACACGGCTCTGTGCGCGGAGAGCAACACCTGCCTGGTGCTGAGTTCCTCCTGGGAGCGGCTGGGACCCTGAGGGTATGGTACCCCAAAACCCCCAAGTGCTAGTGACAAAATGAACGGGGGGAAGAGACAAAATAATGATCATTGGACCATAACACATGTCATTAGGGCAGGATCTGGAGTGTGCTTCACAAGCCAGAGGTGACAGTACAGGAACACCACTGCTACTGGGATGCAGCTGTGCAAGCAGGCTGATAAAGGTGCTGCTGGGAAGGGACACTGCCCAGCTTGGTACTGCAGAACAGTGGGTTGAGCTTGATGGTGACAAACCTCTATGACCATCAGCACCCATCACACCCATCCTCTCCCCCAAGGGCCTGTGGCACCTTTTTACACACATCCCTTCCCCACCACCCCAAACATCAGTACCACGAGGCAAGAGGGGTGGTTTGTGCTTCACCCGCAGTGACAAGACGCATCTTTCTCTACCAGAGTTCAGTGGCAACTGCACTAAGAAACCAGCAGCCAGCAGCACTGCCAGAGCAGCAGCCCTCTCACCCGCTCCCCACGAGCACAGCTCACGCAGCAAAGTTCAACCAAGGGCCTTTTTAATGGAAGTTTGTAGGAACGCACCACGCGCAGGTTAGTTTGCTCACACACGTATCATTTTTCTGCATTCTTCAGCCTTTTCCAGGTTTGCCTATTCTGTGCCCTCAAAGCACTGCTGTGAGGTCACTGGCAAAACAACTGCTTTTACTAGCACTGCACCCATCCACAAAACCCGCACAGCACCATGAAACACAGGCTCTGGGCACAGGACGGGTTGTGCTCCTCCAGTGCAGTGGAGCCGCCTCGGTTATTTGGCAAAGTCACGGTCCGTGCAGGTAGCCCAGAGCTGCGCGGTGCTTCAACACGCTTGGTTGTGCCCCCAGAGTTCACAGCTTCCAGCCCAGCTGCCCCACAGCTGCCTGGTTTAGGGAGACGGCAGAGTTGAGCTGGGAGATCACCCCTTGCTACAAACCCACCAGCACCCGGCAAGAGTCGACACAGCACAGAGGGTCCTGGGAAAGGTGGTGGAGGGGGGGAAAGTCCAATGGTGTGATGGAAAGGCTTCCCAGCACCAAGACCTGAATCCAGCTGGAGCTAGAGGCAGGAGCACTACTCTTCAGCCAGCGGAGGTGGGGCCAGATGGAGCTGGAAGTTCTCATTCTGGAAGACACTGCTGGTGGCCGGGTCCCCGTGGGAAACGCTGAGCAGCCCGTGCTTTTCGCTGCTGTGGCCACGAGACAGTTCTGTCAGGAGAGCTAGCTGCAAGACAAAACCCAGACAGATCACTGGGCAGACTGCCTAGGAACACTCGTGCAAGGTGCCGAAAGACAAAGTGCTCTTGGAGGGCTCCCCTTTTTCCCGCAGCAATTACAAAAAACCTTAACACGTGTAAAGAAAAGTGTGTATGTGGTATGGAGTGACCCTATAGAGCTCAGTGCAGGACAACAGTCCTGAACTAAACTTTTCAGGTGTCTTTAGGTTGTTTTAAAGTTACATAATTGAAAAACAATCCCAGAAAGAGCTGAAAGTGCCAACAGCTGCAGCCAAAAGAGGCAGGAGGCACAAGGACAATGCAGGGGACAGAGGCAGCTGTGCTCTCCTTGGGACAACGCGGGAGGCAGGAGGAGGGAGCCTTCTGTGGGATCACAGTGTCTGGAGGGGAGGTTATCTGCAAATCTAAAAGGAATCCAAGAAATTTCACACCATGGACGCTTTTCAGGCCCAGCCCCAAAGCCGGAGGCGTTTTCCTGGTTTCCCTGCCAGTGAATTCCCCAGCTGCCTCCTGACGTGGAACAGCCAGCTCTAGGCACAGTAAACTGCCAGCGCCACACGAAACCCAAGAGAAAAGGCAAAGCCCACGCTGCCAGTGCTAATACCTGGCTTGACAACCTGCAAAACGCCCTTCACCGATTTCACACCGAAAGGAAAACAGGTGGTACGTACTCTGGAGGTTCCTCGGTTGAGCCGGCAGAGTTGGTCAAAAGCTTGGATTTGCTGAGGATCCAACAGAGACTCTGAACTTGTCTGATAAAGAGAGTGGAAAGGTTACAAG